ACAAAGATGATTAGGGGACTGGAGGCTAAAGCATATAAGGAATGGTTGCTGGAATTGGGTATGTCTAGTTTAATGAAGAGAAGAACGAGGATTGACATGATAGCAGTCTTCCAATATCTCAGGGTTGCCACAAAGAAGAGGGAGTCAAGCTATTCTCCAAAGCACCTGAAGGCAGGACAAGAAGCAACGGATGGAAACTAATCAAAGAGACAAGCAACCTAGAACTAAGGAGAAATTTCCTGACTGTTAAGAACAATCAGTGGAACAACCTGCCTCCAGAAGTTGTGAATGCTCCAACACTGGAAGTTTTTAAGAAGAGACTGGACAACCATTTGTCTGAAATGGTATAGGGTTTCATGCCTGAGCAGGGGGTTGGACTAGAAGACCTCCAAGGTCCCTTCTAACTGTAGTAGTAGTAGTAGTAGTAGTAGTAGTAGTAGTAGTAGTAGTAGTAGTAGTAGTAGTAGTATATTGTAATCAGCATTATCACTTGCAGGACTGGAAATGTACATCCCAAAACAATATAATTTCACCTGCACACCCTAGTTATGTTGCCATTACACACACTTTGTTTCCATATAATAGCAGCAGCATCTCCCAATCTGCTGTAATATGTGGCTCACTGCAAGAGTGTTACTGAAACTATGAGAGTATGGTATACAGTATTCCACAAGCCATGTTGTTTGTTGCTGCTGCTATATCTATAAAGCCTCTTCCCAGTCTCTAATACACCACAGAGCAAATAGTGCGGCATATGATGGTCATCCATTCTAATGGTGTGTCTTGTCCACTGCACCTCAGCTGTGATAATCAGGGACTCAATGCTGGTGGATTTTGCATAATCCAAGATCTCGGTGTTGAAGAGACGGTCTTGCTACCAAATGCCAAGAATGGAGTGCAAAGGACACGTGTGAAATTTCTCCAGTTTGGTTTGTCATTGATGCAGAGACCAGGATTCACATCTATTTAGAAGGGAAGGGATCATCATAGCATTGTAGACTTTCAGCTTTGTGGAGATACAAACGTTGTGTTAATTGAGTGCTCTAATACACAGCTGTCCCGGAGCCTGACTTACCCTGCTGATCTTGGAGTCAATTCCTTTGTCCAAAGACCCATTGTTCAAGATGATGCTTACCAAGAATTTGAAGCTTGGTTATGTCATCAGCAATGAATTTGGTTCTATTGGGTTGGTATTTGGCATGTGCTGGTAAAGTACTTCAGTCTTATTCAGGTTGATAGGCTGAAGAGCATAGCAGCATCTTAGAATTTGTTCAGCATCAATTGTAGAGCACTGTCTTGTGAACCAAGAGTGCCCAGTCTTCAGCAAAGAGGTTTTTTTTAAATGACCCTATGAATGTATTTTGTGCATTCAAGCAGCAAAGATTAAAGAAACAGCCATCTAACTGGTACCTGATATATATATTCCCTTCTTCAGACCTTGGACAGCATGTGACAACCTATAAGGAAGAACAGATTGAACAGAACTGGGACTAGCGCACAAACCTGCTTCGTCCCATTAGAAATGGCAAATGCAGCTGACATATCACTATTGTAAAGGACCTGTTCTGTCATTCCATCAGGGAGTAGCTGAATCAATGTCATAAACTCCCTTGGGCATCCATAGTGTCTCAGGATGGTCCAGAGAATCTCCCTTTTTACAGTGTTAAAAGCTTTTGTTGGGTCAATGAAGACACAGCAGAGACGTTTGCTCTGCTCAATGCACTTTTCTTAGACTTGCACTTTTTTGCCTTTTTTGTTGCTGCTACATCTATAATAAAAGCAGGAATGAAGGACCAAAACACTGTACTCATGTTGAAGTCAGGCTATGTGGTAATTTAGCCAGCACAACTAATGGTTAAGGATGATGGAGTTCAGCAATAACTAAGACAGCGGTTCTCAACCTATGGGTCGTGACCCCTTTTGGGGTCGATCGACCATTTCACGGGGGTCGCCAAGCAAGGCTGTCCGCCATTTTTTTTGTCCGCCATTTTTTTTCCCTTTTCCGGCGGGTGCCTTACCTCCCTTGGGCTGGGCCAGCTGGTGGTCGGCCTGCTCCGTCTCTGCCGCTTGCCAGCCTCTGCCGGCGCAGGGGGCAGAACCACACATGTGCAGTGCTCCCGGGCAGGGAAAGTCCTCAACTTACGACCGGTTGGGTAGTCCTCGACTTACGACCGGTTTAGTCCTCGACTTACGACCGGTTTAGTCCTTGACTTACGACCGGTTGGGGGTCGCGGCATTAAAAAGGTTGAGAACCACTGAACTAAGAAAATGGGTTATCAAGTTCAGATGTAGATAATCAGAAAGCCAGTATATTTACTGCGCTTAGTTTAAGGGTTTTGGGACATTTCCAATCTAGTGTGTGTGTGAGGTCCAGTGAACCTTAGAGATAGAACTGCCTGGATTTTCTATTGAATAGATATGTTCTAGGATTAGTGTGCTAGTACATTTTGGAGTGACTTATCAAGAAAAACAACCACAGCTTTGCTCTTCCATTCATCAACCTATTCCATAGTACATCTTGTCATGTGGTTGAAACAGTGTCACCTCAGGGCAGCAGGTTCATTGAAGGTTTTGCTTTCTTGCTTAGACAAATGAAGTATAACTTTGCTCTTGACAAGTATAACTAGTGTACACAACAAATTGTCTCTCCAGTTATAACACAATATGCCTGCTTGTTTTCTAAGGTCTTCTTTCCATCTTATCAGCGCAACAGTTTATTAAGTTATTTAAGGCACTGCTTTTGACTCATGCTTTACATAAAGTTATTCCAGGATAGTGTTTTGTTTTCCCCCAGTTTTTGGGTACAGACCACATCAGGAGAGATATACAAACTAGCAGAATCCCATAAAGTCCTTGAAAATATATATTTATCAACCCAAAAGTAACTGAGGTCTCCTATGCAATCTTCTGCCTAAGGCATGGTCAAAAGAGTTACTTAAGCAACTTCATGAGATGTTCACCAATGAATATTCTTAGTCATAGCCATTTGTGAAAAGGTTTTAGAATAGTTTTGAGCTTCACTACAACTGGTAATAAAAGAGTTTAAAATGATTCAGAATCTCTCAGTTTGAATTTATTGGATCATATATAGGAAATATGATTCACTAACTGTAGCACAGATTCAGCTTGACTATCAAGAACTAATGGAATTTCATTTCGCGGAGTCTTTCACTGATATAAATAATTCTGTTGCCCTTGCATATTGTACAATTAAGATGACAAGAGTTTAAATCATAATAGGGAACCAGTTTGGCCAGGTAGTTGAGGCACCAGGCTAGGAACTGTGAGACTGTGAGTTCTAGTCTCACCTTAAGCACAAAGTCAGCTTGGGCCAGTCACTCTCTCGCAGCCCTAGGAAAGAAGCAGTGACAAACTACTTCTGAAAGACTTTGCCCCCCAAAAATTGCAGAGATTAGTCCAGATAGTCACTACAAGTCAAAAGTGACTTGATGGCATACAGTTGCACGTACGACCATGTATGCACTCACACATACAATCATAATTACATATGAAGGGGTAACAGTGCACTATTAACTTGGGAGTATATATTATTTACATGGTGTAGGGCCCTTTCCTTATGTCAGCTGCAACACCAGTTAAAAGGTTTTTCAGTTAGTGAAAGCATTTATCAAATGGCACCATGGGGAATGTGATATATACAATCATGCCAGGAATAGTTTTAAATGGCAGGGCTGCAAATGATTTTTCTCCCCAAGATGCAAACAGCTATTCAGATCCAAATGTAAGGATAAATAATATCAGACACTGGTGAGATAGCTTCATGCTCATTCACTGGAGTGAAATGAAGGAATCAGAGACAAAATGAGGATATTCATTCTCCAAAGGCACCTAATGTTGGGTTCCACTGCAACATTTTTAAGATGAAAAATGTAGCTGATCTTCTATAGATTAAAAAAGTATAGTGAAAAGGAGTGTTTATACTGCGGGGGCAAATAAACCATTCTTTGAAGAACCAAATGTCCACATGTTTATCATTATTTTGCCTTTTTAAAATGTTCTTCCAGCAACTGAGAAACTAAATGATCAATTCTGTTGCTGCGGCAGATGGCAGATGGACAAACAAGCAGACAGCTTGAAGCAGTTGCAAGTTTTTGGCACTCCATCTGCATATTTCTAGTGCAATTCTATCCAATTCTTCAGCCTATGTCTGCTCGTATCTATCGAAAATCAACTGCGCAAGATAAAAGTGTTTGAAGAGAAAGATGGGTATGAAACATTTCTCCAGTGCTTTTATCTTTGAATGAACAGTGCTCATGTCAGTGTCAGGCATCTGATCCTACCAAACCATTTTTGTAATGTTTTATTCCTTCAGTGTTTTGAATGTTCAGCTGGCCAGTAACATGTGCTGTGCCTTCAATGCACAACAAAGGCGACCTACATTAGCAGGACTCATTAAACATGCAGCTCTTTAGTCTTGCAAGCTGTTGTGAGAAGCAGCTGTTGCAATGTGGTGGGTGAAAGGTCATGTCACTTCAATGGAAGGCATTTCCTTTGTCCAGCCACTCACTGCCTAAATCTTTCCAGCCAATGATACAAAACTATGTTGCTCCAAACCTTAAAATTTTAATCGGTATACAAGGTATTGTGTTGACTTACAAAAATAACTAAGTCACGTTCATTTTTAATCATTATTATAACTTTAAATTTATTTCAGGGAGCTCTGGTTATCTTCCATAGGGGAGCATTTGAACCACTTTTAAGTGTTCTGGAGGTACACACTGTAGATAAGAAATACACTCTTGCAACAAGTTTACAGCCTATGACTGTATCAGACAATTGTGACTCAGCCCCTAGTACTGGAGTACACCAGTACACCATGGAGTACACCTGTTACACCATTTGAAGAATATTTCATGTGTGTGTGTGTCAGTGTCAGTAAATAATGTCCCCATCTGCTTCATTTGATTGCAAATCCATTTCCCCACCACCACTCATAAGCAAGACCATTACTACATAGAAGTTAAATCTTCAAAATTTATTACAAAATATATAAGATCTTCAACAGCAACATCAATTTAAATCAAAAATAATTATTGCAAAATTGATCTTCAATGTAGAATATAGTCCAAAGGCCTCTGATAGATCAGTCTTCATTAAAACTTTTTATATCAATGCAATGGTACCAATGTGTACTATGCTTAAGAGTCTTTTTGGGGACTTTTGAGTACCCCCATCAACCATTCCTGATTACAGTGTCCACATATTATTCACATGCCACTTTTGTATCCAGTTTTCCAACTTTCTCCCCTATTTTGCTACCAAACTTTTCGTCTCGCTTGGAAACCTGCAACAGTTTTTCTTTTTCTTCTGCTCCTTAAAACATGAGATACTTTTTCAGCTCCAGACGTGTCAGCTTCCTTACCAACTGCAATTTAGTGGGGACTTCCTGTTGGCATGAGCCATCCCCGTCCCTCCTCTTCTCCACAAGATCCCACCGTGTGCTGACTGAGCGACTTAATCCAAGCTGTTGACCGGGCTAATCTCCAGAATCAGCCACTTGTTGGGTTGCCCAGATGTATAACTCCAGGACAGAGGGAATGCAACAAAAGGTGTGAACCTCTTCTATGCATTGGATGGTCAGCCTCCATCACTCAGGAAGGGCAATATTGGGCACCCAGTCATTCACATTTCGACTCTCCTCACAAAACAAGTTCAACTTGTCCAAGGCTGGATCTTTCCAGGCATCCTCGTTGGGATTCTATAGTAAAAAGCAAACAAACCAGAAGCTATTAGTGAAAGCTGTCAACCTAGAAACCATTTAGTATTTTTATATAAAAACATTTTCCTTACTTGTAATAATAAAAGTAACTATGATATCCCAAGTACCAGTTGTAATGCTCTTGCATGGAAACCAATGTATTGTTTAAGTTGCTCAGTATTTGCATACTATTTCAGGGCTGTCAAATGTACAAAATTGGTTTCCTTGAGAACAGTCATATTGCTGGAAACTCAAGTTATAGCTTTGGATATGTCCAAGAGGCTCAGGTTGCTTTGACAAATCATTATTCTGCCTGAAAACGGTGACTAGTGACACAGAAGCAACTCCAAGGGGCGGAGGGAGGAAGAGAGAAGTAGGGGAAATCCCACACTCTACATAATCCTGCATAAAGGTCAAGTATTAAAAGTCACAAACATAACGGGAAATTTTGCAACCCCGAGGGACTAAGTCACACGACCTCTCCCCAGACATTCTCTTCTAAGCAGACACAAAAAAACACTTACCGTAATGAGAATGCAGTGCAGATCTCTGGGCTCCCCAGATTCCTCCCCGGCACCCACGATGGCAGCCAGTTTCTGGATGTCATTTATTCTCACAATGTCGATGTCGTTTTCGCAGCAGAAAGCCTGGATGAGGGTAAAGTGGATCTGGAGGGCAATGTCTCCCTCGTCCTCCTCGTCTGCAGCCAGCACACAGAAAGCCACGGTGTCTGGATCGCTGGGGGGGGGGAAAAAATGAGGGGAAAGCAGGAGATTAGCAGGGATCCAGGGATACTTCCAACCCAGGAGGGAGGAGGGAAAAGGAGCTTAAAGCCCTCACACTCCCCAAGGACCAAAGCTGGCGTTTTGGCCAGCCAGACTGCGCAGAGCGAGCCGGATACTCACACATTCATCAGCTTGGCAGATTCATAGACGCCGGCGGTAAGGCAACCTCGGCGCTGCGAGGCGACGAGCAACTCCTGGAGAGCTTTGCCGGCGCTCTGCATCCTGGTTCCGCTTGCGCTGGTGCTGCTCGTGGCGCTACTGCAAGAGAAGCGGAGAAGAGCGGGTCAGTGTCGGGAAGAGGGAGCCGGGCTACAACGGACGCACCGCTCTCCGGCTCAGCCTCGCCACCTAGACGAGGACCGGCTTCGCGCGAGATTCCCTTCCCGAGCGTCAAAGAATGCCCCGTCCTCTCTCTCTTTT